TGAGCATGCAGCGCGCTTCATAAGATGGTAATGGAAATGCAGTCCAATTCAATTTACGTAAAGCATATAAAAGGAATTGTTTTTGGACAGATTCTATGCGTTCTTCGTGTATGGAAATGTATGGATTCCATACTAGGTGGCAGTATTCCAGAATTGGCCTTACATATGTGGTATATAATAGCTTAATAGTGTATGGGTCTTCGAAATTATGACTGAACCTTTTAAAGAAGCCTAGCATTCTGTTTGCTTTACTAATGATAGTATTATAATGTTCTATAAAAGTTAGTTTGGAGTCTAGGATTACACCTAGATCTCTTACAATTTTGCTTTTTTCTACTATTTGGTTGCCTAATGATATTTCAATATGCGGTGTTTCAATTTTTCTGCTAAATGCTATTGCAGTACATTTTTTTACGTTCAGTTTAAGTAGACTTTTACTACACCAGGTGTGGAATATATTGATTTCATTCTGGAATTCTTCTGCATCGCTAGAATTACTTATTTCCATAAAGAGCTTCATGTCGTCTGCATATACAAGCAATTTTATTTTTTTAAGTATGTAGGAAATGTCGTTTATGTACAAAATAAAAAGAAGTGGGCCTAAATGAGAACCCTGGGGTACCCCAGAGGTGACTGAAATTGGTTCTGAAAGTTTATTTTGAAAGCGAACTATTTGTTTACGATGTGTTAGGTATGATTGAAGCCAATTCAAAAGTCCAGGCTCCATTCCTATTTTCTGCAATTTGAGGATTAATAATGGTATGTCGATGCGGTCAAATGCTTTACTGAAGTCGGTGTATAGCGCTTCAACGTGCTTGCCACTGTCCAACGCTTTAATAATGAAAGATACATATTCTAGAAGATTAGAGGTAGTTGAGCGACCTTTAAAAAAGCCGTGCTGTTTACTTGTAATTAGATTTTTCACCTGCTGAAAAATATTGCCGTATACGATTGATTCAAAAAGTTTTGGAATGCAAGAAATAATAGCAATTCCACGATAATTTCGAATGTCTGATTTTGCACCTGATTTGAAAATAGGTACCAAATAAGATGATTTCCAAATTTCAGGGAATTTTCCATTTTTCAGAGACATGTTGAAAAGACGCTCTAGAGGAAATGCGAGTTCTTCAGAAAGGTTTTTCAAAAATATGGGTGCGATGCCGTCAGGTCCAGACCCTTTCGACGCGTTTAAGTTTTTTAGTGCATTGAGGACTTCATGTTGAGAAAGTTGGTTGACAGAGATGTTTTTAGAAATTTCAGGAATGAATGCAAAGAAATCGCGGTCACGATCTTCTTCGGAAAATGTGGTGTATACTTCTTGGAAGAAATTTGCAAAGAGACTGCAAATTTCAGAAGAATTCTCACCTACATTTGCATCCAAATTCATTCGCGAAGGAAAATTGCTGCTTTTTAATTTCGTGTTTACATAATTAAAAAAGTTCTTAGGACATGATTTGACTTCATTTTTGACTTTGCGGTTATAGTCCTCATATGCAGAGTTGGTGGCTGTATTTAATTGGTTGCATAAGTTGTGATAGTTTCGCAAATTGGTTTCAGTTTTTTCTTTTTTGTATAGTTTATGAGCTTTCTGTTTTTTATTCTTCAAATTTTTCAGTTGTGGATTGAACCATGCGGGTAGTTTATTGTTTTGTGTTCGTCTTCTTTTTTTTGATGGTACAGTTTCTATGATTAGGTTTTGTAGAATTAAGTGAAATTTTTCTACTTCAGTATCGACATTTCCTTCAATACTTATTCAATTTTGCCAATTTATTGTACATAGTCTACGTTTGGCTTCTTCGTAATTTGCTTTATGGTATTCCGGCACTTCCTCGTATTCCCAGTCGCTGGAGGAGGAAGAATTTTGTACGAAGATTGAGTATTCAATTGCTGTGTGAAACACTTCATTTTTCCATAAAGGTGCTAATGATGTATCCACACAGAAGTCTTCAGTACAATTTGTAAATAAAAGGTCTAAATATGAGTTTTGTTGATTTTTTACATGGTTAACCGTTGGGTAGAATTTAATGAAAATTTGGGTGGATTTAGTTCATAGTGCATTATTTACATCCTGCAAGTTTTAAAGTCCTGTGATCAAAACTCGCGGAAATGGAGTCGTAAGAACAGCTCGTGCGTGATAAAATTTTGCGCATTCATCACGAGATCAAGGATCTCTCGCATCGTTCCATCGCTAAAACGTTGGGAATCGCGAATTCCACGGTGTCGCGATTGATTAAGCGGTTCGAGGAACGGTTGACTACCAATCGGAAGCCCAGAAGCGAAGGAAAAAGTATTCCGTACAACACCAAAAATCACAACCGCGTAGTTGGGGCCTTCAACCGAAATCCGAACGCCTCCGTTAGGGATGTGGCTAAGAAGCTGCACCTAAGCCGAAGTTTCGTCCAGAAGGCCAAAACTAAGGCTGGGCTTTGAACGTTCAAGGTACAAAAGGCCCCTAATCGCGACGAGAAGCAGAACAAGTCCGCCAAAACCCGTGCCAGGAAGTTGTACCTCAACATGCTGACGAAAGTTGAATGCTGCATCATGGACGACGAAACATATGTGAAGGCCGACTTCAAACAGATCCCCGGCAACCTGTTTTTCACGGTCAAGGATAAGTTCAGCGTTCCGGAGCATGTCCGCACTCAGACGATGTCCAAATTTGCGAAGAAATTCCTGGTTTGGCAAGCCATCTGCACGTGCGGGAAGCGGAGTGCACCTTTCGTGACCCAGGACACGATGAACGGACAGGTGTACATAAAAGAGTGCCTCCATAAGCGGCTGCTTCCTCTCCTGAAGGCTCACAACGTCCCAACAATCTTCTGGCCGGATTTGGCCTCATGCCACTACTCCAAGGACGTGCTGAAGTGGTATGCGGACAATAAGGTCAATTTCGTGCCGAAAATGTTCAACCCTCCCAACACTCCGGAGCTCCGCCCCATCGAGAAGTACTGGGCGATCATGAAGCAGCACCTTCTTAAACGACCTAAGGTAGTGAAGACAGTCGAGGAACTGAAGAAAGTATGGGTTTACATGCTAAAAACGGTTGATTCACAGGTTGTGCAGAATCTTATGACCGGGGTTAAGGCGAAGGTGCGGGCATTTGCGTATGGACTGTAAATAAAATACGAGTAAAATGGTAAAATGAAGTTTAATAGTTATTTCTCAATCCCTGAAAATTTGATGGCAATCGGATGAAAACTCTAATTTTGCGAATCAATTTTGTGTGTGGCAATTTCATCGTGGACACCGAATGGCATACTTAGAAAAAAATCACAGTTTTTGGTGTAAATATAGAAATTTCTAAAATATGTCTATATAGCATAATTACAAATGGCATCAAAATCCGATTTTTTACAAACATTTAAGCATGTGAAAAATCAAAATCTCGTAGGTTTTTACGTATCCCCCGTGTAAAAAAATACCTGAGTGTACATTGATTTAACATTTCAATTGATTAGCCTACTTGGCTCTTCATCTGTATTTCATTGGATATTCTAATTTAATATCTGCGTTTTTCAACAAATTTACTGAATACCTCTTGGAGGATGTGTTTTGTTTTAATTGAGAAATTTGATATCCTGCCTAACTACGAATCTAACTTAAAATATCGTGCTATATCACGAATGATCTGTTGTTCTGGATTTTAGAATTTGGAGTCCGCGAGGACTTTTTAGGATCATTCTAAGGGTCTTGTTCTGAAGCCCTTGCAGTTTAAGGTGATGGCATTTGGAACAACTCTCCCAGATTGGCATACCATACTCAATAACAGGTTGAATTAGTTGTCTATGGACATAAAGCTTATCTTTCAGGGATAAGGTGGACATCCTATTAACAAGCGGATGCAGTAGTTTTATCAAGATGTTGCACATAATTTTAGTTTTATCAATAAGCTCCCTGAAAAGAACACGGAACAAGTCTGGGAGATTTGAAATGAGGAAAGATGATGACCTGGATCTTCTCCACGTTTATACGGATCTTCCAGCTGTTGAAATAACCAGACAGTACTTCCAGTCCTTTCTGAAGTCTGGTGGTCAGAGTTCCGATATCCCTACACTTATAATGGATGGATGGGTCATCTGCGAGCAGAGACTACGATTTACCCTCGAGCAGGAACCGATAACTAACCGATAACATATGTATATTTTTATGTGGTATGATACCTTATGTTGGTATGCTTGTGGTATAAAAACTTGGTTCGATATTATTCAGTTTTCGAAATATTTTGTAAAATTTCAAATGAATACCAAAATAACAAAATGTTATATTTCAGTTTTTAGACAATAACACCTGAAAGAGTTATTAAATTGGTATTAGAAGACTTTCAAAATAACAAAATATGGTATTCTGGCATTTAAAAAAGCGTCTGTTATCCGTCAGTTATTTTAATAACAACATTATTTATTAGTTAGTTATTTGTAGAACTTATTTGAGGTTTTATTTTTTGGTATTTTACATCTTATGTCAGGCTCGTCAATACCATATTCCGGTTGCCAGGTTTGCTATTATCATACCTGACTTTGGTATTTATAAGTTATGTTCTCCTGTTCGTTCCATCAGGGAGAGCCGGCATATCGGAGGTGAACAAGATGGGTTCAAGGATGCTTCCTTGTGAAACACCCACACCGATGTGATGCCATTCAGAGAGACTCGGAAGAGAGATAGTTTTTTATGATCTTGGATAGTTTGGTATAACAAGGATCAATAGAAATAAGCATTTTTTTCCCGATTATTTGTTTTTTATTCTCTTGAAATATGAGAAGCATGCATACTAAAATGGATTATGGGATCTTATGTGGGCCCCATTTGTATGAAAACTATGCTTGAAATATTTAGAGACCATTAAATTGTTATACGGGCTAACCTTGATCTGTTTTACATGCCAGAAAAGAAAAGTAGATGGGGAAGCGGGGTTAATAAAAAAAATCAAGAATGGGTTTTCGAATAACGCATCTGCTACACAGCAAACATATGATTTCTCACTTAATTTATTATAGGCAGTAGTAAGCAGTTCGCTTTAAAAAATCCTAAACAAATATAACTCTTTGCTGTTAAACACCCTCAATTAATTTTCGATTCAATCCATTGAACAAAGTCCGACACCTGTGCGTAGCCATCCGACCGAACGGATCCACATCCATTGACGACAAAGTTAGCAACTCCAACTACCTCATTGTTGTAGACCGCAGGACCACCGGAATCACCCTGTTGAAGATCAAAAGCTTTAATCATTATTATCAAACTTGAATTCGCATGTACCAATGAAACTAACATTGCAAGCTCCGTTATTGGCGGGCGACTTCAGACAAATCAATCCAGTGCTGGTGCCCATCTCCAGTGCACATTCATGTGAGGCAAGAGCTGTTGCCCGATTATACCGGAGTACTGTTGACAATGGACCATAGTTGTACAGCCGGCCCCAACCGGATATGGTAACCGTGCTACCACCTGGTACGGTGGACCTGCAAAGTGCTATCGTTGCAATGGAACTACTCAGTTGAAATCCATGGTCCAACTCCAGCACGGCAATGTCATTGCGGAAGTTACCGTATCGTTCGTGGGGAATGATTCTGCGAACGTTTTGTCGAACACCACCTTGGTTAAGGATTGTCGTTCCGGCAAGTACCGAGACTTGCGATGCTGGAACTCTGAAATGCAATGAAAAAAAGAAACTTTTAAATCGATGATGTTTTTAAAATATACACTGTGGATAATAAATGGGATCATTATATTAAAATTTCAATTCAATACAATGCATTAGATTGGTGACAATTAACCCTATTGTAATTGTATTGCGTTGGTCAAATGATCAAATTTTGAACAACAACTAAACAATAAAATGTTTTGATCAAATTTGTTCGAGCAAAATTACGTTTTATAGCAACGTTAACTAAAAACCCCCTAATATATTGTTAATCTAATTTAAAATCGATTCTATTGTTCGTAACAATCAGTTCTATTGTATTTGTTTTGTTTTGAATTTGTTGTTTTTGTATCGTAAAATTTTATTCGGGTGATTTTCAAACTTCCAGTTATCCCAAAAGTGCGTGAGTGAAGGAACTTTTCCGCTCCCATTATTAAGTATTGATCCAATTTTAATGATCCGCCGGAGGCACTTACACTTGATTTCCAATGAGGATACAATGTGCCGCCGTGAGGACCCACTTGTCCGTAATCAGCGATGCGCCACACAACAACGAATTCCACCTAAGAAGGGCCACCTGATGCGGGAACTGGTTGGGGCTGGCCGTAGATCCTCCAACGATGCGTGATGATGTCAAAGGCGCCACGTTCGCTAGCTTTCTGGCATCCTCCACGGACAGAAGATTTCTCTCGAATTTTGTTCCAGTCAATATTGATATCCCCAACATCACCAGTAAAAGAATGCAGAAATGCCTACTCTCCATGGTTTCTTCTCTTACGCCTAAGGAACGACAGGACTTTTGTAGGATTTAATTGAGCGTTCAAATGGTAATGCCCTGTTTACACTAGTGCTGGTTCATAATGCTGATTAACCATAATTGGTGTAAACCGGCCAAGTTTTTCCCAGAAATTGATGCACCAATAACGGGAAAAACTGTTTACAGCATGCTCATAACCATTATTGTTAGCGACGCATCATCAGCACTAGTGAATCAAGACAAGTGTAAATCGGGCATGGGTACTCACCGATCAAACACTTAATCGACGACGACGACGACGACGACGACGGATTGTCGATGAAAATTGAAAACCTTTTTTTATTGGGCTTTTTCTGCTGCCGGCGGTTATTGAAATGGCTGAAGTTAGAAAAAAGAGATTCTTATTTAATGATCCTTTATAATTGGATCGGGTATGGGGGGAGGGGGGGGGGTTTAGGGTAAATAAAATGAGCAGTGGCGTTGGTATCTTTGATGTGCACTTTAAATTGGATGTCACAATTAATTAACTGATTTGTGTGCGAAAATCTCAATGCAGTGGAGTAGCTGTTTCCGTAGATTGTTGAGATTTATGACCAGTGTTCAGAACATCATTAATTGAGCCTTCCTAAGAGAATAAACTAGTGTGTGAATCTGGCTGACAAAGCTCACGCTTGAGATTCTCATGCATTTTTATGCACTCACATTCACTACGCCAAAAATAAATGAATAACGCCAATAATGAGTTTTCATTACCTACAGCATAACCGTAGAACAGCTAAACGATTTTCAGGTTCAGCTTCTAAATAACACTTCGCATCAAATTCCTAATAGAATTTGACGACCTTTTAATGAAGAACCTGAGTATATTGGATCCAGAAAATGTAATCAACAGAAGACCAATCAATTTTGCCACTCTTCAAAAATTTCAGAGAACTTCGTAATATTGATTTTACTAACCATTCGAATGAGGACAAGAATGATGTTGTAGAATGTTGGGGAAAAGTTCTTTCAACTAAAAGATGTGGAGGTGAGGCGGAATTTCCTCAACTGAGAAAATCCATGCCAAGCTTGTTGATTCTACCACACTCATCAGCGACTGTTGAAAGGCTGTTGTTGGACTACAATGTCAACAAAACTAAAGCCCGGAAGAGGTTGGACGTTTCTACAATGCGTGAAATATTGGCTACAAAGAACTACGTTAAGTTGAACTCTGTTGAAAGTGGTTTGGTGAATAGGGTAGAGAACTGCTTCGGCTTAAGCGCCCATTTTGGGCCTATCAAGCAGACAACATCTAATAAATCCATGATTTCCGCGTTAACAGATAAATTATGCGTTTGGTAAGATACTTCAGTTCAAATTCTACCGAATAAAGTCAATATGAACGCGTGATATGAATGTTTGCGTGATATGAAACTTACGATATTAAATTGCCTCACTACTTGACTAGCCTATTGGTCCCAAATGAATCGATTAACGTACCCCATTCTAGACGAAATTCTAGTAAGTACTACGTTATGTTTGTTTTGATTCGCTATGAAAGTTTGACAGATAAAATGAGCGGTTCGTTGATTTTCCTATGTTTCGAGGGGTGCTTAGATTAGCTTGGGACCTAAGATAGTACCAGAGCTGAGTCAAAAAGTTGAGCACGTTTCTTCGGGACCTTCTGGTCTTAAGTCCATTTGATTTAAGTCCATCCAGACAAATCCAGACTTTTTAAAAAAAATACCACAGATTTCCCCAAAAAGCACTTGGCATCCTTAGGTACCGAGCGGGTACGCCGGTCTACATCCGTGCTGCCGTGATCAGGACTGTACATTTTCGAAGCTTTAAGACGAACGCACGTTTTGTTTCTTTTATATAAAGTGTTCAAGCCGGCGCCGGTGGTGTAGTGGTAATCGTGCCTGCTTTCTCACCGCAATGGGCCTGGTTTCTCTGATCACGTCTTCCTTCGGAAGGGAAGTAAAGCCGTTGGTCCCGGCCCATGTGTGTTGTGAATGGGTGCGATATCCTACGCAGGTGTGGAAGCTGCCTACCTGCACATTCGATTGCCGTCAATGGATGGCAATCGATGCCCGTCGTTGATTGGCACTAGATTGCGGAGCAGAGACCTACGTTAAATTAAGGAAACAACGTGTTCAACGTATCAATAAAATATCAATACAATCAACGTATATTCCTGTCGAACATCGGACTATCCAAGTCGGAGGCGCACAACGATCTCAGCTCCGACCACCAACCGGTGGTGACTGAAGTCGGTGTCAACGTGGTTCCTGCTGGAAGCTACCAGCGTCAAGATTACCACCATGTCAACTGGGTCACTGGGATATCAAATTTAGTTTTCAGTTTGCTCTCACTGATAGCAGAAATGGTTTTCAATGTGATGTCACAGGAAGATTTGTTTGAGCTCAATTGTGATATTTTAACCGTTAAAACGACCAAATTGACAGCAACCTGACTAATCATTATTAGCGAAATCACAACATCAAATTTAGATTTCAATTTGATCTCAGACTTTGCTCAGGAGGTTAGGTATATATAGGTTAGTTGTATCTGTAAATAGTAATTTTAAGTAGTCTCCTTTTTCAAATTTATACCAATCCCACCAAGGTGGTCATTCTCTAAACAGGCCTGATAGGACTAGGAACTGTAACTAATAATAATTGAAATTTCAAAAGAACTAAAGTTGAAAAGACGCATCTCTGTCACTTGATAAACTATACATGTTAACCACATAAATTCACGAAATATAGATCATTTAAAGTTAAAAAAAAAAGTTCAACGTATCATTTCTATAACGCCTAGTTATACTATTAGCACGAAACGAAAAAGAAAAAGTAGGCTAGTTATGAATCTTCTCGTCGTTGCCTTTGCTCATCGCTTTCAATGAAAGTATTGCCGATTTTCTAGTTAAACGAAACCCCATTATGGCTTTCAATCCCTTTCACCGACACTCTATCACCGCTCTTTTAATTTGTTTAATATGCGCTAGGGTTTTTGATCTAATTTCCGTCCTATTAAGCACAACCCACGTTTTACCTCTCTTTCTAAAACGGATTTCAACAATAAATTAAATGTTTCTATGAAAGATGACTTCTAAATTTATTCCCCTTTCCATAAGAACCGTTGAATTTGATAAAGAGCCAGACATGGTTGAGATATTGTTAAATATCTAACACTGCTTCTTGATTCCAAATTCGTCCATTGGATTTTCTTCGTCCTACGGACAAAGGTAGAAAAATCGAGTTTGCTAGGAGCGCTTCTTTTGTTTTGAGAACAATGCGTGTAAATATTCACCCAATATGCTCTAATAGGCTTTGTGTTGTAGCTCGTGAAGTATTACTGATTTGTGCACGGTGAAATCATTGATTATACTGATGTTTTCTGCTCGATAGAACGGTTATGGACGATTACGACGAAGTAGCGCACTCCCCTATGTCCAGTTTTTGTTACTTTTTTGACGTAGGACTACGTCTGTGATTTCTATATGGGTACACTTTGTAAAAACCGAAAATTGAACATGTAACATAATTGTGAAAGATTTTGAACGTTAATAACTCTGCTGCCCCTGGACCAATTTCAATAATTTGAGCACCAATCGATCAGAAATACTTCTGCACATCTTTTATATCAAATTCTTTATCAATTTTTAAAATGGCACAATTGAAAATTGCACGAATGTGCAACTGTTTCTATGATAATCAAAATTATCACCGATTGCCTTCGAAAAGCGATTTCCATAACATAGATTTCAAAGTTGAATTCATTCCGGTCTCACCAAACGGTATTTATTCAATTACCGCAAGCAGTTATTTATCAAGGCTGCCCTCAACCGCTGATCGGATTCAGTTCCAATCACCGTGTGTGGTGATGTCCGGTCGTCGGCATCAGCTTACGGCGCCTAGCGCTGAACATTGTTCTCCAATACACAACGAAAGGCTGTCCGCAAGCAGTGAGCTGCAGCTCACATGAGCGTCCATTTTCCGAAAAAGGAGGAAGAAGCTGCACCGCGATTGATCGGAATCATTAGCTCTTTGTGAGTCCCTGTGGGCCATCTATGCCAAGCACGATACCCTCATTCCAAACAACATACAGCTCACCAGCCTTCCCGCATAAACTCGAACCATAACTTGACCTTTCCGAAAATGGCTAAAACTTGTTTATAATCCCTGCTAAACTTTAACTGAAATGGTTATGGAACTTTACATGAACGTTTTTCTGATATAGTTTTAACCTTATGTATTACGGTTTATTGGAAGTGAACCTTACAAATAATGGGTTGTTAAGAGCCATTACCATTCCAAATTCTTGTTTTCTTCATACTTTTTTAGGAAAGTTATTATATTGGAACCATTTTATTTATGATTTGAGAACTTTAATGGTAATGGTTTTGTAACATCCATCAACTTTATGTGGAATATATCGCGAATTGGTTGCCTGTAAATAACTGATAACCAATTCGCGATATACTCCACGTAAAGTTGACCGATAAAACAAAACCATTAATGTACCTAACTGACTACCATAACCATTACCATCAAAGTTCTCAAACCATAAGTAAAAAGGTTCTAATATAGTCCTCGCTCCGAAAATGTATGGAGAAAACAACTATTTTGAATGGTAATGGATCTTAACAACCCATTATTTGTAAGGTTCACTTTCAAAAAACCATAATACATGAGGTTAAAACTTTATCACACAAACGTTCAGGTGAAGTTCCATAGCCATTTCAGTTAAAGTTTAGTAAGGATTATAGACAATTTTTAACCATTTTCGGAGAGGTCAAGTTATGGTTCGCGTTTATGCGGGTTATCTGTGTTTAACACCCTAATAGCTCAGCATTAACCAACCATCACGACAAAACAGTCCTTTTCAGGACCACTTTAAATTTGTAAAAGTGTATTTTTTTCGAAATTTGTCAAGGTTAGGATGCTAGTTCCCATATCAAGATATAGCTAGAATTAGGGCGTAATTGCTTTTGTAAACAATGACTTCTTCCGAGGATGTCTTGAAAGTCAAGGCTCGCCCACCCAAATCAACATCACCATCAGTTAGGGTAATACTTCGCCTACCCGACGTAATTTTGGTTTGCGTGAGCGTGTCTTGAATTCCTAAAAATCATCGAGAGAAATCATTGTTTACAAAATCTGTTACGCCTAACTCCAGCTCTATCTTGATATGTTTGAATCTAACATACCATGTTCTTGAAGGCAACATTGGGGTTGCAATTTCGAAAACCAAAGTCGGTCACGGCATGAAAGTGGCCTGATTTTGATCCAGAGATAATGGATTTTAATTCTTAATACGCCAATCGATAGGATTGCTTTTCGACGAATCTGTTAAAATTAAAACTTTATCATTTTTCAAAATGTCAGTATTGA